GTGCCACTCTTGGGACCAGTGGCGGCGCCAAAGCCTGATCGTGTTGAAAGTAGTCCAATATATCATTATTTTTTCTTCCATTCGAGTTTTGGTTTTTCTTCTTTTTTGGGTGGGGTTAGGGGGGGGAAGAAAATTATCTAGGGGAATGTCATCCCTGCTCCCCATGCTGGCGCCGTCACTGCTTGGGACCATCAGTAGGCTACATTTAGTGGCAGATCTACCCCAATCCCATGTCCCACTCCCCCTCCCACACACCGCCAGCATCCAAAAAATCACTAGTCACTGTGTGAAATCATTTAAATAATCAAGAAATTAAAATTACTGCAAATCCGAAACCACGGGGTCACAGGTAACGCCCCAAAACCTTCGCTCGACCATACTAAATATTAATCTTCCCTCGGCACCCCTCCAGCACCCTTGACTCCACCCTCTAAGGGCTTAACTATGAATTTTTATTTGGAGACTTATTTGAGATGTATTGCCCACTGAAATTGACAAAAAAATCATAAATAAAATAATTTTGAAATTAACTTGCTCATTCTGCAGTAACATATTATTACTTCATCACAGGAATTATTGCCTGGAAATGTGCCTATAATTTTTCGCAGTAAAATTATGGGTAAAACATTATTTTAAATACATTAATGTATACTTTCAATTGATAATTTACTTCAAAATGAGCAAATTAATTTTCCAAAATGATTTTTCTTTCGGCATTAAAAGAATGATGTAATAACGTTACGTCATTCTGTAACATTAACAACGTCATTGATTGGTGCACACAGCATGCATACGGGAACCAGTGGATGAATCGCTAGCTGAACATGGCGACTAAACATCGCAATGGTGGTGGTGGTGTTGATAGGGTTTCCAAAAAACTGCAAGCTAGCGTTGAACGCGGCGATTATTATGAGGCCCACCAAATGTATAAAACACTGTATTTCAGGTGAGAACAATCTTGAAATCTCATGTTATGGGGGTTGTAGGCATAATTTAATCATCTGTAGGCCTAGCGAACCCCCTCATCAGCAGAGTGAGTAGTGTGTGGCAAGTCCCTCACTCTCACGTCGTTTCGTAAGTTCCGAATCGTACAATGTAAGTGGGCTACGCGGTGTTTTTCTAGAATGTTCGTTCCTAGACTCACAAAAGAGATCATATTTCTGCGAAAAAGATAATTTATAAAGTTTTAATCTTTATTTAACTAAGGTGCTCATCACCCAAACGACGATATTATCGGCAATAAAAATAATATTTACCGCCTGGCTAAACTGAGCTAGGCCTAGCCTGGGCCCTACACTAGGTTAAGCCTAGCTAGCCTGGTAGTTAGTAGAGCAGGCGGATCAGATATGCCCTAGGGCCTAGGCCTGCCCATTATAAAGAAGGCTTGCCTAGGCTGGTAGGCTATCCTAGGTAGGTCTCCTAGCCTATAACAAAAACCATCAGCATAGGCCTACTGTAGCTTTTCTACCAAAACTTAAATTAAATATCGAATCGAAGGGTCCCATTTTATCAGCTCTAGGCCTAGGCTACAGTATAGTTAGGCGAGACTTTTTTATATCTTGTTTTGCAAACTTTAAAAAAAAAAATTATCATAGGAGGGTGGGGAAAAAAAAATAGAAATTATAAATGTTGTTTTTTGATTTAGCAAATATTTTTGCTAAAAAATCCAGACGGAGAAGAAAATGAAAATAAAAATGTTATTGTCGGTGAATGTAAACAATGTAGACTTAGTAATGGGATGGTTCTTTAAATTTATATAGGGAGAAATATACATGTCTTATTTGAGATTTCAAGGCAACGGTGGGCGTATTATAAATAAAGAAAAACTTCTGTTTTTTCTGAAATTTCCATTTTTTCATGGCAGTGGGTGCGCTAATTGACATATCAATAAACAATTTTTCTCCAAAGCCTGGCTTTAAGATGAGACTTGTTGTTGGTTCTGTTTACAATATAATATGGCTCATGTGCAATGTAAAGAAGGCATGCAGGGAACTCAATGGGAAAGAGTAAATATTCCAGGTACACCACTATCACCACTAGAAGGACCCTCCAGTAAAAATAAATCTTTGGCATCATTTTTGGTGCACCAAAATAAATTAAAAAAGAGAAGTAGTTAATAATAATAATAATAATATATTCATTTGTATAGCTCCGGTATCCAATATACTCATGGTGCTTGATGTGTGGACTAGCAGTTTGCTCAGTGACTTTGTTCACCACTAAGGATCCCTTCATGTCTTGGCTACCTGGTTAACTGGTACCAGCAACTCTCGTCATCCACCACAGGGGGCTATCTTTATGAACACTGTGGTATTCCCCTACTTGTCTAAAATTATAGTCATTATCCGAGAAGACTTGCTCTACCACCAGAACTCTAGACGAGTTTACTGCAGGTTGTGGCGCCCTGCCTTAACGGCTTGTTACGAATTGATTGGCCGAGTTTTATCTGCGTATTAAGTGCTACATTGAACCTTACACACTTGGTCAATTGACTCATCAATTGACCCTATAAGTTGCCACATTGAAACAGCGACGTCATGGGTTGAATGTTGCTATCTCTTGCACCGCTGCTCATTTTAATCCTGCTTTTGGGTTATATTTGTTGTTCATATATATTTTTTAAATATAATGTTGTTAATTATCACAATGTGTATAATATTAGGCACTATATAACGTCAAAGATTAACACAACTGATAATTTTTGTTTACCCCATCAGGTTTATGAATCAAAACAAACTTGCCGAGGCCATAGAACTCATTTACTCTGGGGCCAATCTGCTCCTTGAACATAATCAAGTAAGTAACATTTAGGCCTACATGTTTAACTCTCGAAATATTTATTACAGCTTGTCATTTTTAATGATAAGGAATTTTTTTTAAATTATTGGTCATCAACATCACCATCACCACCATCAGTGTCATCAGTGTTATCATCATCATCATCATCATCATCAATATCATCATCTTACCTGTACCGTAGCCGTAGTATAAATGCTTTAATTACAGTGTACCCTCCAATTCTAGAGCTCTTTAATTCTGAGACCCCTCTAATTCGAGACCACTTTTTCAAACAACCAAATAAAACAATTTCTATTAACACTAAGCTAACCCTCTACTGTATGTGGAGACCAAACCCCAAGACCAGCCCAGATTTTCAGGTCCCAAAGGTGGTATCGAATTGAAGGGTGAACTGTATAGGTTTTCTGGCCAATGTCAGCTTTCATTATTAATTTGATTTAGGAATATTACTGTAGCATTGTATTTATCACTTAATATTTGTGTTTATTTTTCCTTTCAGCATGTGAGTGGTGCAGATCTTTGTATTTTACTTGTTGAGGCCTTTGATGCTTCTGATGCTCCAGTCAACTCAGCTAATATAGGTACTGTACTGTATACAGTAATAACAAGATAATCTGAGATTACAAACCCACACCCTGTTCCACCATATCTATGTATTGTACTGAAAAATGAATGGCCTGCGGTTGATCCGCTTGAGTTGGCTCTGCCTTGCCAGATGAGGCCTAGTGTTAGCTTCGTGTGGCAAGCCCATCAATCTGGCAAGTTTACACGCAGAATTTGACACACCTTCTCTGGCCCGCAGTTGATCTCTTCGAATTGGCTCGGACTAGCCAAATGCGGCTGAACAATCCGCTTAAGTTGGCTCCAAAATTAAACATTTTTACTGATTAAGACAAAGCTAGGGACTGGAACCCAGTCTAGCATAACCCATGTCATGCACACTATGTGACCTATTCTGCTGCTTGTGGAGTATTCCTTGGCGTGCACCTAAATATTTTGCACACCTTAACTGTTACCCATTTATATTTCTGAAATATGCTTGTAATTTGCATAACCAGTCTCTGTTAATTTTTTACGGCAGCCAAAGTGACTGGTTTATACAAGCAAATACCTGCAGATATACCAGAGAGGGAACATTTCCTGAGTGCTGCGTTGAAATGGTCGGCGAAAGGTAACCCCAAGAAAGGCTGTAGTCACCCTGAGTTGCATCAGCAAGTTGCACTTATATTCTGGAATGGTAAGCTCCCATTCATGGGTTTAGGTTATCATTTTCTACACCTTCAATGAAATTTATTTATATATTTTATAGTAGGTTGCCTCTTCAGGCAGGATAGTGTTAATACAGTTGATTCCCATTTTTGTCACAATAATAATTCTGTAAACAGTTTTATCATACTGGAGGGCCAGTGAATAAGCAAACTAAATAATAATTTTGACCGTCATTTTTATCCCTGCAGAAAAGTCATATGCCTTATCTCGTTACCATTTTGTACATTCCATGGACGGAAAGCAATGCGCAACTATGTTAGTAGAGTTTCACACAACGCAGGGCTATCCTAGTGAAGTAGATATGTTTATCACACAAGTTGTATTTCAGTAAGTGCTTCAGTTTAACTCAATCTTCAGATTCATTTGATTGAATCATTTTTTTTTTTTTTTTATAGTTTTGGAAGGTGAGTCATGGAAAACATGAAGTCAAGGAAACACACCTCCTCTAATCTCCGATTTTATTTATTTTTGTTTTGTTTTATTGAATGGCAACTTTTACAAAGGTTTTTATTTTTTAATTATGTTAAATTTGGCCTGAGCCCCTAGGCACCTGCAGCAGACATAGTGCAGTGCCACTCAACTTAGTTTCAACATTTAACAGATATAAACATGTTCCTTATCTCACCTAAATCTCATTTATTTCACACGATCAGACTCCAATAATCTGACGCCTGCTTGATTTGATCTGGGGTGTTCAGGGCAAGAAACAGGAACAAAACTTTTCTGGCCAACCGCTCTTATTTCCATATGAAATAGTTGCCTTCATTATTTAAAATTTGTCTTTGCTTTGGTTTGGATCTAGTAGCTAATAATATATTTTTATTTTAATCATGAAATTCTCTAGAAGTACTAAAGATTATTGTTATATTTGCCAGCATTTAGTAAATATATTAGTATTTAGAAGTAGCTAGACTGCCTTTGCTAAATCTTAAATTTATGTAAACATTGAAAAATAGATGCGAATGCTTCCGGGGAAATGCGCAATGACTTTGACTGCTGCTAATTAACTTCAACCAGTAAATCTATCAGTGACTAAACTGACAACCCCAAATCACATGCAAGGGACTAATTTTTATCATTGAGGGCACTAACACAAATGACACCCTTGCCATTAGGTGTAGATGTACGACTTCTGTATTTTAATCTAAGTATTAGAAGGACGTACAGTATGTCACTTCTTGACAAAATTTGAATTGAAGTGCACGTAGGCGAGACTTTCTCATTCCTTGTTTCGCGAACTTATTTTTTTACAGGTGGGCGGAAAAAAAATTAAAATAAAATTTAGTTTTCTTGTTTAGGAAATAATTTTTTTGCCAAAAACCTCCCAGTGGAGGAGAAAATAAAAATATACTTTTATTGGTGAATGTAAACAGTGTAGTAATAAGATGGTTAAATGCTTTAAATTTATATAAATAGGAAGAAATCTATATTTCAAGGCAGCGGCGGGCGTAATAAAAATAAAGAAAAACATTAATTTTTTTCTGAAATTCCCAGTTTTCCTCGGTGACGTGTGCGCTAAATAGCCAAAAATGAAATTTTATTTTTATTCTAAATTGTCAATATTGGTGGGTAGCATGTTCCCACAACAAGGTATAAAATAGGTCTCGCTTTATTTATAATTAGTTTTCATATTTGTATTGATTTTCATTTATATTAACAAAAGGTTAAACTTGCTATTTCAATGCAACAAGGTCATATTTAATGGTATGATTTAGTTGAAGCTTGTCGCAGAGCATGGATGAAAAGGAACATACTTGACTGTAATATTTAATTTTACATCAAAGTCATTAAGTATTATATCAATAATTGGTGAAACAAGGTCATAATTTAAATTGTTCTCAATTAATCATATTTTGAAAGTCTTTTACATACAAATGCCCATTACTAACTACATTGTACATATCATTTCGAAAGCATAATAGCGTTTAAAAGTGATGTGCCTTAAGTGCTGTTAACCCTCAATGGTTAAAAGCAAAACACGACCTTGTTCTCTTACATCTCGATGATATTTCTTTCATCGATTTTTCTAATTTTTTTCTTTCCAGGCTGCTGTGTCGCAAAAACAAGGCAACTGCAAATGAAACGTTTCAAATGTACACAGAAACGCACCCAAACATCGAGAAGGGTCCGCCGTTTATCCTGCCCCTTCTTAATTTCCTCTGGTTCTTACTAATAGCTGTTGACAAGTAAGTTTTGTTGTTGTAGATGGACTGCCACTTGACACTAAAATAAAGTTAAAAAAAAATTAATTGCCAAATTTAAATATTTCTGTAAAGTTATATTATACTTCCAACTAAAAGTTAGAACAAGGAAGAATTTTCTCTCCTAAATTTAGACATTTCAAAACTTCTGGCAGTATAGATAAACATTTTTGTTGATATTTAACTTGTGTGGTTCAGTTTTTGCTTTTTTAACTCAGGTTTTTGGTTGATTTTTGGGTAGCAGTATGTTATAAAATATTGTAAAGATGTGTGATTCAGTTAATCTTTTATCATTTTTTTGTGAGTATGTGGTTTGAGTAATTTAAAATGACAGTCAGTCGTTCCTTATTGATGACATGTAATTATAATGTTGATTGTGGTAGCATCCGTCAGCTCACTCCTGTCAGTAGTTGGCATCAAGAGACGCTTTTGTTCAGACAGCATTATGTTAGAAATAATTCTCTTCACCATTCTGCCATTTATTTGTTCCGTAGACTTTGGGAAAAACTCCCAGAAAATATAAAAAATTCCCTTTTGCTGCATTCTTTTTCATCATTTTTGTGCTCGCTTAAATCGCATGTCTTGTATTATAGCCCCTCTGCTTAGTTGCATTGCGCTCCGTATCGGATGGTCCTTTATTTTTTTCATTCCCGTTTTTATTATTTTATTATTTACTAAGTGTAAAGCAATACACTCTAGTTAGTAGGTAGAAATTTTCATTAGAAAATTTATATTATTCACATCGAAAAAGGAACACAGATCATTTGTAGTTGGGGAAATAATGGTCCTTTATTTTTTTTATTCCTGTTTTTATTATTTTATTATTTACAAAGTGTAAAGCAATACACTCTAGTTTGTAGGTAGAAATTTTCATTAGAAAATTTATATTATTCACATCGAAAAAGGAACACAGATCATTTGTAGTTGGGGAAATAATAATTGGAATGTTATTAGATGCTACACAAGTGGAAATTATAAAGTAATAATGTCGGATGAGTTGTAAAATTCTCCCTTAATTATCCAGCTTTAATTATCCAGTGTGTACTTTTCCAATTTAGACTAATCAAAATGCTGATGATGTAGGTCTCTGTATTAGACAACAGCAGAATAACTCCAGAGTTGAGCTTGCCATTATAAAAGGATCATTGTTCATTCATAAAGCAATTTGAATATAAATATACACAGAATAGAGATAATGAATGAAGAAATATAATAATTGGATAATAGACACAATCGCCAACCGTGATACAGTTGTGGTCATGTGACATCTAGTTTAAGTTACATTCATTGCGATGAGTGTAAAGGTGTAGAGTATGTAAAGAAGAAATGTTTACGGTTTTCAAAGTACGCCCTCCATGATAATGTGAGAAATAAATGACAAATTAGGCATTGTGATTGTCCAAAATATTGTTGTGTTTGTCATTTTGGCTTTGGAATTTACATTATTAATGAACCTTGAGATAGCCTAGATATGCCTCACTTGCATTCGGCATTTATAAAAATAAAAATCTCTTGCATACCTAATTGGACCAAAAGATCCAAGGCCTAACTAGTCTTGAAAAATATCAAAAATTGGGCTTTAGTATAGTTTCATAGCACTAGCTAACCATTCTGACAATGTTTTCTCTAGTTCAATTTCGAAATGATTTAGAGTAGTTTACTGATTGTCCAACCAGTGGCGTAACAACAGTGGGCTCTCACTGCCTAAAACCAGGGGACGGTCCCAGTCCTTAAGGAGCCTAGGGGGATATTAAGCAGGAATTTTTTGTCAAGACTATGGGCATCAAATTGACCGATTAGGCCTCTTATTGAACAGTACGTGAACAAAAAAACCTGGGATATAATGGCTTTCGTACCCTTCTGAAACCCTGCATGACTCCTATCTCCAGTGTAGCTATGCCCGAAGATGCCTAAGCCAGGGGCATCAGACCTTTTCATTATGCCACAAGTTCAACCACTAATATCCAACATCAATGAGTGCCTTCCAGCAGAAAGCCATGCTTCTTCCTGTACTGAGCATCATCACTCACACCCACTCAATTTTTTTTTTCAATGTCACACGACTTACCACTTGTGTCTATTCAATGATAAATTGTGTAGAGTAATTAAGTGATTGAGCAATTACAAATGAATTAATATGGCTGTCACTTTTTCATGAATTGTAGACAGTATAAAACTCATCAGTTGCTTTTTAGTGCTGCTTATTTGAAAGTGGCCTTGTGTAAGGTGGTGAACGTATTAAGTGTATTAAGCTGTAGGATCACTTTTTCATGAATTACAGACAGTATAAAACTCATCAGTTGCTTTTTAGTGCTTCTTATTCGTTGTATCTAAATTGAGCGTGGCCTTGTGTAAGGTGGTGTACATATTAATTGCATTAAGCTGTAGGATGAAATAGAAGTGTTTTTTTCTACTACTTGACAGCATTGACAAGCACATACTTCATTATTCCTTTGTTGCCATTACGGTTCATGTGGTAGTTGCAAGGAAGCATTATAATTGACTTGATGTAAGAGTTTCCTAATGCATGTGCATGTGTGTGTGGGGGGTATGTGTGTGTTGGTGGGTGTGTGTGTGTGTGTTACACTGAGTTTACAAACACGCAACCTCAAAAACTGTACACATGTTGGTGCTAAATGTTTGTGTTTTCGTTTCGGGTATGTCATTGCCCCTATTTTCAATTTTACCCAACAAGCTGTCATGTGGGTAAATTAACCCCCTCCCACATACCCACCCTCAAATTTAAGTATATCAGCCATTACGTACTTGATTCTTGGTTTATGCCATTCCATGGCCAGAATATTTGACTGTTGACTGAGAACATTATCAAATTCACTGCTTTGTTGTTAAGAGAGAGAGAGAGAGGGATCTATTGGTGTTGTACAATATATATATTTTTTTTAATTCATTGGTTGTCATTTAAGTGACTGCTGTATATCATCTGTCAGATTAGAAGTAATTTGATCATTGATCGAATAAATGTTAAGTTTACTGACCATTTATAAGCGGATGGCGATGATGAATTACAATGGCGGTGGTTACGATGTTGATAATGGTTTTGATGATGATATGATTCTTATGAGATTACTGATAATTATTGTCAACATAAAACAAAATATTGTTTATTAGTAGAATAATCAAATAAATGCCTTTTAAACTGCTTGTTTTTCTGTCTTCATGATGAAATTCGCAATTATATTTCTTTGTTTGCAAGGACCCAGAAATAAGTTTTTCTCTTTGGGCTTTCCTTGTAATTAGGGTGATGTTTTTGTGCAATTTTTATCTTGTCTGTTTCTTGTAAATAATATTTATGTATGTATTTTATGACTGATTACAAATAAATTCAATGAATTAATCAATCAATGTGACAAATATATGTGCATGATGATGTCATATTATATCCAAATATGGTCTTTTATCACATTTATTTGTTCCATAAAATTTTATAGTGTGTACAGAACGTTGAACAAGAAAAATAAAAACTAAATAATTTTTTTTTTTTTATTTTAACTTTTTGTTAAATTAATTACAATTAAATTTGAATATTACCCAATGCATTTTTTTTTTAATTGTTTTTTTGTTTTTTGTTTTTTTTTTCAGTGGGAAATTAACAACATTTACGGTGCTCTGTGAGAAATACAAACCATCGCTGCAGAAGGACCCCACCTACAATAGTTACCTAGATAAAATTGGACAAATTTTCTTTGGTTTGCCTCCTCCAGCCCCTAGTGGACCGCAAGGAATCATAGGTAAGACTTCATTTGACATTGTTTCATGGGTTCTTTTAAACATCTCACCTGAAAGACACCAGAAAGACTCTTTTGAAAAACAGCCCTCCAGCTGAAATACAAGGAGAGCAAGCAATGGAATTGAACTGGGGACCAAGAGATCTCCATGGTTCAGCACACACAGTGGCTACCACCAGTTTAGCTGACTGAGCTAAGCTGCTCTCAAAGTATCTTCAAACAACACTCAGTACATATTCAGCTTCTTGAAAATATGAAACAAATTTTAAATTATTTCATTTTCTACTGTAGTTAGTTGTAGTATCAATGACTTATTTATCATGATTCACCACGTTAAATTATTATCTTCCAGCCCCGAAACCCTGACTCAGAAATATCGTGGTAGTATCCGGCAGGGGATAGTTTTGCCTTTAGATGACTAGAATATAATAGATTACTTCAAGTTTAACACATCACTTGTACTAGCAGTCTTTATTCAGGCCCCGAAACCTTGACTCAGAAATACCGGAATGGTGTCCAGCAGGCGATAGTTTTACCTCTAGAGTTTTCTTGATTAGGCCTTGATTAAATTTTTTTTTAAAGATTTAATTATCCTTTTATTTAAAAGGTTACACGTTAAAAGTTCTGCTTTCAATGTAATTCCTTACATCTGATTTTCATATTTCCGTTTATTGTTCTATGCATACTTTAAAATTTATATTGCAATCATACATGTGACTTTGTTAAATAAATTGAAATCGAAATCAAAAAGATGGGTCTATACTTGATTGATTGATGTCTCTTTTGTTACAGGTAACATTGTCAAGTCACTCTTTGCTGATGGTGATGAAAGCAATGGAAATATTTCAGATGGACAAGATGCTGAGTTGTGTGGATTGGATCTTGATTAAGTGGTGAGAATCCACTTTAAAAAGCACTCCAATTCTATCCTTTATTCTTTATAAAACCTTCTCAGCCATGAATAATTCTTAAATTGAAACTAATCGAAATACTGTTTGTGTTTAGATAGATATAACTCAGTACTTTAATTACTTTCTGATGCACTTTATTTCTCTTTATATAAATCTACTAAAAAATGTGTCGTTATGTGGTACGAGTTTTATACAATATCCTACAATCTACAGATGTTCTACCATTGCCATTCCTCAATACCGTATCCTCAATCCCCATTTTTTGATCAGCCCCTCATTGGCTGGTGTGCTGTCACATAACTATCGACTCCATTAACGATGTCCTTGAAGGTAGTAATAAAACCTTGTTGAAGGAGAAGACAAACCTGTCTAGTGCCTGGTCACTTATCGCTAACCGGGACAGGCAAAAGTGATTTTAATTGGTTGAAAAGCTGCGATTTGTTAATTCTGGATGAGGTAGCATCATTGGGTATTGTTTGCAACTTAAAACTATGTAAACATAAAGATTTTAAATAGGAGTACAACAGTGCATTTGTGCGGCTTACATTGATTTAAATGAGTTCTTCACTTTCAATTAGAAATTGAAAAAGAAATATAACTTGGTAAACATTTGATTTATTTATGTACTATTTAGTGTTATAATTTAATGTTAATGTTGAGATGTTTTGACTGACAATGCATTATAGGAGAAGAAAATAAAAATGTTCATGATATTTACTATAAATCACATTCAGCTCTGAGATAAGGAGAGATCTTATAAATCAGTTTTCCTTTGCAAGTATTGATAATTTACTCTGTTACCTGATTTTTCCTAGATTTCTTCTACTATGTTATTACTTCTACCATTACTTCTACTGTTCTATTTTAGTATAATTTAAATTATGAAATTATGATTGCTCTTATTATAATATTTTCAATGGTTAGAATTTACTGTTTTTGATACAATATTTTAGTTTATACTGTGCTAGTGGCTAGTGTCGCCTTGTGCATTGTTTCTTTATCTAGGTACATGTGCCAAGGATTGTTAACTTAATCACTGTCAGCAGTTTTTCACAAATCAAAACACACATACGTACAAGCTACTCTAATCTATGTTTATACCTCCATGCTCTAATAGACCAAGTCTGTTTAAGGCTTAGGGGGTGCAGTTGTTTTTTAGTCGTGAGAAAACATTGTGAGAGGAATTGAAACAGGACACTGGAATTAGAAGACAAGCACCTTAGCCACTAAGCTACCCCTTCATTTGATAAAATTTTCATTAACTATTTTTATCATTATCCTTTTTGTCAACAATTATCTTTAATCATTTCTACCGAGTATGTAGGGACTTTTCTTAAAATGTTCCTAATTTGTCCTTGCATATTTGAATCTGAAGAATGTACAACATAAACCTGCACATAAAATTTGCTTTGGAGAATTTAAAAGAAATCCGATCTAAAAAATTAGGCACGTTCTTGTTAATTTGAATTGGAACTTGCGTGCATCTTGCCATGGTTTATATTATAGGCCTATAATGTTCATTAAAAATGGTTATTAGTATCACAGCCAATTTAATGTTGATCTCAGGATGATTTCCAAAGGAAAAAATAATTGCCTACCATTAATCAGGGGTGACTCCAGGTGGAGCCGGTGTGGTCAGGGCTCTCCCATATTGGAAAAAAAAGTTAGGTGTACTTTTTACATAATAGTAGACTTTAATTGATTAAATAAGCATTTGAAGCACCTAAATTATAGTTTCCTGCACCAATTCCAGGAGATTTTTATTGATGCCCGACCACACCCCCTTCGGGCAAATCCTTGCATCTTCCCTACCATTAATTAAAAATTAAAATGAAACAATTTTCAAAATAATAAGCTATATATACAAAAATATATTTCTGATTATTTATTAGATAATTTATTTAATTATTTTATAATGATATATTATATAAATACTGTATACCATGTTTTGCAGTCACCAATAATAATCTATAGAGAATGTTACATTATTTCCTAGACAGTTGCCTCGTTAATTGCTTTTCCGCAATGAACATTACCTTGTGAAGTAGCTCTTACTTCAAAACTCTAATTAGACTATTGATTTGTTTTTGTCTTGTAATTTAAACTAGTTGCGTGTTTGTTACAATATTCAGTTTTTATTTCCATTTGGTATTTAATGTTCATTTGCTGGAAGACAAACTTGCTGATGGTTTATTTTTATTGGTCAGTTCCATTGATTTCTCTCCCATTAAGAAACGATAACAAACATGATAAAAGGAAAAGAAATTGAATACCCATATAAGTCATTACATACAATTAATAAATTTTTCATGCTTCTATTAACCTACAGTAATAACTGAATTAAACTTGTGTCAGTATAAAACTAAAAAAAAAGAGTGGACTGACATGTTCACAATGTTTAGATACTCATTATGCGCAGCAGAAACTACCAATTTCTCTTCTAAATTATTAGATTTTTGAATGAGTTATTACGATGCAGCTGGAAACCTTTGCCTTTTACTTAACAATGTGATACAGAAGTTAAGGGTGAATGTAGAAGCAAAATGTAGTACTGAAGTGCTGTACAGTACTTCAAAGATATCCACATGTAAGTTGCATATCAAATCTGTCTAATGAGTGTTTCATTGGAGAAAAATATAAATTGTTTTTAGATTTTTGAGCATTTTAACCTCTGGTTGTACAGTACTACAGGTTGTAGTAAAATGTAGTGATCATTGCTTATAAAGGTCAAAAAGACAGTTACAATGAACTTTTGAAAAATACAACTTGTAAAAGTTATTTATGTGTAATAAATGTTAAAATTGGGTATGATGTGTTTTTTACGTTCTGTTCGGTAGTTTTCGTTTTCAAAACTATGTCCGGCTTTTATTGTTTGGTGGGAACACACAGCGCCCAGCGCGACACGGCACTCGCAACAGATTGTTTTTTTGCAAATATTAGATTTATTTTATTTTGTATGCGGAACTCAATTGACGTTGGACAACAGTTGATTCTTGCTGAAAATAAACCTGAACAGAACAGACCTACGAAGTTGTTTCACACATTCGCTGTGAGACTTGCGTATTCGTGGTCTCTCACGCTTAAAATCGCACGCATAAATGCATAGGCGGATTCAAAAGAGGGGGGGGGGGGGGGGGTGGCAGCCGGTATGGAGAGACACAAGAGACCTGTTAAAAATAAGAAATAAAAAAAAGTTTTTCAGTGGCAACACATTACACTAGCTGTTCAAGAATGGGCAGCATCCAGCAGAGTCTACAACAACTGACGTCTGGTTACTAAGCAACAAGAGCCATACCAACCGTGGAACTGCAGACAAAATGTTGAATGCACACTCGGGAAATTATCTCCCAATCTGTAATCAAGGCATTGTCTATCTATACAAATAAAAAAAATGAAAAGAAACCGCGAATCGCAAATCACAGTTGCACATTTAACATGCTGAAACAGAACTATAGTTCAAAACTCAAAGTACGTAAGGAAACTATAAAGAACACAATACGTAATACAACAACAAAGGGTCCATCAGTCATCCTATTCAAGTCAATAACATCCATGCTTCACTAATAGACATAATCCAGTTAGACAAACTATCGATACAAAAAACATTGACGTACTGTCAAAATGCAGGCACAACGATTTCCTACTCAAAAACAACTAGGCCTATTTAACCTATCGATCAATTGTACACTCTTCACCTGCCTCACCATATCACGTACAAAGTCCTAATGATTAAATAACAAATCATTTGCTTCGGATTTGAATTTCCAACGAAACCACAGTGGCCTGGTTAAGGTGTCTGCATAACAACAGAGCTAGCGTTTCGGGTTCGAATCTTGGTTGCTGGAACTTTTTTATCTTCTTAAACGTTTTTCATGAGGGGAAAACCTTTAATTTTAACTTAAACTAGGGTGGATGCAGGGGTAGGGGAGGGTGCAGTCGCACCCCCTAAATTGTATTAAGAAAATAATTGTTATATTGTTGATATGAATTATTGGTAAGATTTTTAAGATACATGAGTGTGTATTTTCCGGGCACCCAGATGTCCATATTCTCAAACTTTCATGGGGCTGAGGTGGTGGACTCTCACGCACCCTTGGGCGCAGATCATCGGGAAAGGGGTAACGTCCAGGGGTGACGCCCAGGGGTGACGCCAGGATTTCCCAGACGGGGGCCCCCGAGGTCCCCCACCGGTGGGGGGGGGGGGCGATGTCCCCGACGAGGGGAAAATTTCCCCGACGAGAACATAATGGGTATGGTCGAACGTCGCTTTAAATGCCTCATTCCAAAGTGGTCTAGTGGGTGAAGCCACCGAAATTTTGGCAATTTAGGGGTTTCGAATGCTTATTTAATTGATTTTAGAGTCTACTAATACGTACAAAATACTATTTTTGTTTCTCCCCGACGGGAAGGGAGGGGCAGCTCTCGAATGTGGCCACACTGCGAGTATACTAAATACACCAAAGAAATTGTTTCTTTAATTTAATTTTATTTTCTATGGTTCATAACTCGTAATAATTAGATCTCTGTTGTTGCCGAAAATCCCTGATTAAAGATCATGAGAAATTTTGCTGGCGCTTCATCTAGACTATAATGATGGTGTGATAATGGTGAATTTTACTGTATAAAAGTGTCATTTCCGGCCATCTAAACAACAGCGGTGGAAGGGAGGAGAGGAAGGGACCATTGGCCCACCCACTTTTTCTACTGGGGTGCCTGGCCAAGGGGCCATTGGCCCACCCACTTTTTCTACTGGG